GAGTGATTATTAAGGACAGAAGATTCTTTTGAGGGTGATAGACACATTCATTATCTTGATTGTGGTGATGGTTTCGCAAGTATGTACATATGTTAAAATTTAATCAAATTGTACATTTTATATATATGCAGTTTATTGTTTATATGCAAGTTATATCTCAAACTTGTTATAAAAAAATTATAGACACTGTTTATAAGAGAATAACAGGGCCTTTAGCACTTCTGCTTTTCTCTCCCTCCCCTACTTTTGCTTGCCTACTTGGATGGAGAAGTTTAGGTGCCTAGGCACCAAAGGATCACAGCATCTCATTGATTTGCCTATCCTCCTCTGCTTTGTAGTTAAAAGGCAGAGGGCAGCAGTGAATCTCCTGTAAATGCTCTTTTTACCACACCTTTTTCCATGGCTATTTGTACCTTTCAGGAGGCACCTTCCTAGGAATGCATCTGCTGTTCCTTTCAGCTGGCTCACTGCAGATCGCTTGCTGGTTTGCCCACAACTTTAGCAAATAAAAGTGAATGCCCACTGTTATCAGTTCCCTATGGATGCTATAGTAAATTATCACAAATTTGAAAAAATAAATTTATCCGTTTTTGAGTACAGAAGTTGGAAATCAAGGTGTTGGCAGGGCCACACTTCCTCCAAAGGCTCTAAGGGAGAACCCTTCCTTAATCTTTCCAGCTCTAGCAGCTCGAGATATTCCTTGGCTTGTGGCCATATCACTCTAATCTCTGTCTCCATCTTCATATAGCCTTTCCCTTTTGTCTCTCAGATTTTCCTCTGCCTTTCTCTAAATGACACCTGTCACTGCTTTAGGGCCTACTTTAGTCACGATGATCTTCTGTTAACATCCTTAATTACATCTGCAAAGATCCCTTTTCCAAATAAGGTTACATTCACAGGTTTTGGGGTTTAAGACTTGGAGATATCTTTGAGGGGGCTACTTGAACACTATTCAATTCAGACAGCCATCTGCATCTTTAGATTTCTAGGGATAGGTTCTGGGTAAAGCATATGCCATTATCATAGGACCTGGGATACATAGGATCTAGAAGGATCTAGAAGTATTTCAGCCAGTGAAGTCCTTTGGCTTGGGTCTGCTTGATATCCCAGTGAGATCTCAAAAGGATATGACTTCTTTTGCCCCGTTCTGTTGCCATAGTGATCACTCATAGCCCATTCATAGCCCCATAACTGGGCAGATGGCTAGTGAACCTAACTAAGGTCTTACCTGTAGTCATAGGTCTTGAAAGGAACACTTATTGAATCCCTAATCTGTGTCAAGATTTTCACTTTACTCTCCACCAATATCCTATAAGGTAGACTGTAGTTTTCCCATTTTATAGATGAAGAAACCAGTTAGGGAACTTTTCTAATTTGCTCAGAATCACACAGTCAGCAAAAGACAAGGCTAAGATGTGTACTGAGGTCTCCTGGCTCCGTAGCCTAGAAACATTGTTGCCATATAGGACTGGATCACAAGTGCAGAGAAGATGAGAGATCCAAGGCCACTCAAGATCATTACTGTTTCTCTCTGATAATGGCCAGTTAGTGATAAATAACTTGTTAGTGGCACAAGAGTGGCACCCAGTGGCTTCGGCTAAAAACTGCAAGATCAATGATAGGTCAAATTCTTTTACCTCTAGACCAACCAGTCCCTCAATTTCTATTTCTCAACAGGTAAAGTAGAATAGCTGACTTCGAGTAATTCAGAATAAAACCATCTATGGCTATTATATAGCTTATGGAGAATGGAAGAAATGAGAGAATATGTTTTTAGAGCATTATAGAATAAGTTCAGGGAACAGTCATGCCAGGAGTAGAGATTTTCAGCCTGGGTGTTGGAGCAGGACAGTGGGCTATGAAGCAGTAGACAAGATAGTGTTCCAGGGCTTAATGTCATAGATGTGTGCAGGGACTGGAAACTTAAACCCAGAATAAGCAGGAGCAGTAACAGGGAGGCACTTTCTAAGGAAAAGTATTGTTCCCTAGGGGCAGTGGGGAAGACCAGAACTAAATGTCCTTAAGGGGACCTGTTGAGCGGTGTGCAGGGCTCCCCTAGGGCTCAGAGCTTTATTTCTGAATGTGGGTATTTCCTTGGTGAGACCAATTTCAAGGTAGGAGAAAAGTTTGTCTATTACATGAGATTTTCCAGGCTAGAATGAAGTAAAACAATAAGCTTTCTCTCAGGAAAAAAAAAATGTTTGGAAATTTTTGTAATACTCTATTTCACTCCTTTAGGGCCATCTTTACAACCTTTCTGTTCCTTGGAATGTAATTACTTAGAAATTGAAACTTACTTTAGTAAACAATATATGATAGAATATTTTTTGAGCTATAACTCATGTACCATAAAATTTACCATTTTAAATTGTACAATTCAGTGGTTTTAAGTATATTACTGTGTTGTGCAGTCATCACCAGTAAATTCTAGAATATCTCCGTCATGCCAAAAAGAAAATCTCATTTGCAGTCATTCCCAAGTCTCCCACCTCCCATTCCCTGCCAACCACTAATCTACTTACCATCTCTATGGATCTGCCCATACTGGGTATTTCATATAAATAGAATCATACAACAAATGGTTTTTTGTGTCCGACTTCATTTAGCATATTTTCAAGGTTCATCCATGTTGTAACATGTAACAATACTGCATTCTTTTTTTACGGTTGGACAATATTCCATTTTATAGATATACAGCAGTTCCCTCTTATCCTTGGGGGATACGTTCCAAGACCTCCAGTGGATGCCTGAAACCACAGGTCATACTGAACCCTATATATACACCGTTTTTCCCTATACATGCATTCCTTGTCATTTAAAGGAATTAACTTATCGATTTACTAAGTAAAATAAAGGCTACTTGAACACAAGCACCATGATACCATGATATTCAGTCTGATAGCTGAGATGGCTACTATGTGACTAATGAGCAGGTAGCACCTACAGCCTGGTGACACGGACAAAGGGATGATGCATGTCCCAGTGGAATGGAGAGGCAACGTGAGATTTCATCAGGCTACTCAGAATGGTGTGCAATTTAAAACTTAACAAATTGCCTATTTCTTGAATTTTCCATGTAATTTTTTGGACTGCAGTTGACCTTGGGTAACTGAAACTATATGAAAGTGAAACCATGGATAATGTGGGATTACTGTACCACATTTTTTTCCTCCATCAGTTGATGGACATTTGTGTTATTTCCATTTTTTGGCTATTATGAATAATGTTACTATGAATATTTTTGTGTGGACACGTTTGTATCTTTTTGGGTATATACCTATGAGAGTTGCTGGGTCGTGTAACTGAGGAACTTCTAAACTGTTTTCCAAACTAGCTGTACCATTTTACTTTCCCACTGGTACTGTATAAAGGTTTCAGATTTTCTGTATCCTCACCAACAGTTGTTATCGCCTATTATTATTACCATCATAGTGGGGGTAAACCATCTAATAGTGGTTTTGATTTGCATTTCCTTAATGCAAATGATGTTGAGCATCTTTTCATGTGCATATTGGCCATCTGTAACTCTTCTTTGGAGAAATGTCTATTCAAATCCTTTGGCAACCCAATTTTGAATTGGGTTATTTTATTGTTGAATTATAAATTCTTTATTTTGGATACAAGTTCCTTATCAGATATGATTTGCAAATATTTTTTTCCCATTCCTGTGCTGACTTTGCATTTTCTCTATAGTGTCCACTGAAGCACAAAAATTTTTAATTTTGATAAAGAGGGTATCTATTTTTATACACTTATATTCTTAAAAAACAAGGAGCTAAGAGGATTGGTTTCTGATCTTAGTACCTTTGTTTCTCTGTACAAATTGAACTGTGTTGCAAGGCTGTGAAAGGCTACTGAGACTATAAAAGGTGCCCTGTGGCTTCCCAGGTTTGACCTAGTCAGTCATTTGTTGAGCATCTACCCTGTGCAAGCTGTAAAGAGATGTAGGCATGATGAACCTTACCTTTCAAGGAATGTAAGATGTAGAAAATGGACATCCACATATAAAAATGATGAACAGGGGCATGCAGTGCATACTGCAGAGCCCGAGGAATGGGGCCGACAGGAGGGGACAGGAGTCCAGAGGAGGCAGGAAATGCTGGAGTGAGCTTCAAAAGCTACAGTGGAAGGAAGCCTTGAAAGTTGGGGGCTGGGTTAGGGGGATTCACATGAGCCAGGAATTAAGCGGGTGAGGGTAGATAGCCCTGTGAGATAAAAAAAGCCACCAGGCACACTCATCTCACTGGGGCCCACTCACGCTTCTGCAAAACTAACGGGACTTCTAATTTCTTAAGCAGCTGCTCCCAGAGAAAAATGATGCAGAGGAAAACACAGAAGATACACATGAGAGCAGCAGCCTGGAGCTCCTTGCAGGTAAGGGTTTAGCTTTTCAGGTGAGCTCTGGATCAAAGTTGGGAAGTAAAAAAGCATGACTTCGGGCTTTCAAACTGTACCTTCCAGGACAGTGTCCTGGGATTTGGTTGGCTCCCAACGCTTGTGTGGGTGTTCTGGGGTAGCAAGAGGCGTTCCATTCCAAAAGCTAGTATAATAGGACTAGAAATTTGTTTGCAGGTACAGATAGATGCATGATGGGATGGGACCCTGAATCGAGTTGGTTCCTTCACGTCTTTTCATCATTATATGTTGATGCTGTGGCTCTCCCTGGTTTTGATTGCTGCTGTTTGGGGCTCTGGAGGCTGTTCCTGGACGCAGACACCATTTCAACCTTGATATGTGTTATGTGGAGGTGTCAGTGTGTGATGTGATGGTGATCATACTGAAGTCTTCCCCCCTCCAATACTTAAACAGCATTCAGGGGCAGCAGCGGCAGGCGTGTATGTGTATATGGCTGGAAATAACCATAGTTACTGGTGCTTGAACCTGCAATGGTATAGGTGCCAAGCACCATTCTAAACTTTTTAAATGTATTGATGCTCTTCAATCTCAAAATAATCCTATGAGGTGTAAGTACTATTCTGATTTTACAGATGAGGAAACCTGAGGCCCAGAGATGTCAAACTTACCAGAGGTCACGCAGCTAATAAATGGTAGAGCCAGAATTCAAACCCAGGCAGCTTGGCTCATCTGTCTCTAAAAGAGCCAGACTAGCAGGGATGCACTGTGTGATAAAACAGTGCTTTAAATTTGTAAAAAATAAAATAAAAATAAATAAATAAATTTGCACAAGTAAGTCAGGTTTATAGTAGGAGGGCGGCCTATAGGCACTGCCTCATGCAGTGTGAGCAGCAATGGGAGAGGTGAGGCCAGCTTTCTGGCAAGGTGACCAGCCTCGCAGGGGAGAAGCTGGATAGTACAGACTCCACGAAGAATTTGTGTGCAGTGAGCCCCGAGTGAGAGTTTGGTACAATCCCAGATGCCGTTTCCCAGGCCCTGCTCAAGGGGGATAGGGAGACCGTGAACCATTCTGCAGCCTCAGCCTGTACCTGGAGAGCGGGAGCTGCCAGGCTTTGATCTGGACCGGACCTGATGAGAGGGTTCTGAGGTAGGAAGGCTGACAGAGCTGGCCCCAGCTCCTCCCTTTCTCCCAGGAATCCCCCAAGGGTCTGTCTGGCCCAGGACCGTGGGAGTAAGATAAGTGAGTCTGTTTTCTCCTAGGGACCAGCGGGCAAACAGAAAGCAAGAGGCTCAAGAAGGGCAGCCTCCATCAGGTCGTGGAGGAGACGCAGGCTTTCCACGCTGCCAGGGTCCCGGGCCCGTCAGAGGCGGCCCCACGCCGTGCGGAGACCCCCGCGGCCTCCCTGGCCCCCAGCAGAAGCAGGGCGGGCCCCGGGGGCGGCCTGGAGGTAACCTGGCGAGGGCTGCACAGGAGGGGCGGGAAACTGGGCTCGCTGAGAGGTCCTCCCGCCGGTCGTCTTTCCCGCAGGACGCGCTGTGGCTGCAGGAGGTCTCCAACCTGTCGGAGTGGTTGAGTCCCGGCCCTTGAGCTGAGCCCTCTCCTCGCGCGTCCACGACGGCCGGATGGCTGCAGGGGCCACGCGTTGCCGAAGTTCAATAAACTTACTCCTCCGACGCCTGGTGTGTCTCTGTCGGGGCGGGGCCGGGAATCCGCGCCGCCAGATGGCGTCACCCCAGCTTCCCGCAGGCGCGGTCCGAGTGGCGGCGGGATTGCGTCACTGGTGAGCGCCGCGGGTCCGGGCGCGATGGCGGCGCTGGGCGGGGACGGACTGCGCCTGCTGTCGGTGCCGCGGCCTGAGCGGCAACCGGAGTCGGCAGCTCTGGGCGGTCCGGGCCCCGGGCTGTGCTGCTGGGTGTCCGTGTTCTCCTGCCTCAGCCTCGCCTGCTCCTACGTGGGCAGCCTCTACGTCTGGAAGAGCGAGCTGCCTCGGTGCGGGGGCTGCGCGCGGCAGGAAGCCGCGCCTCCGCGGGGCGGGGTTGTGGGCGGGGCTTGGGCGAATCGGGGGCGGGGTCGCGCTGTCAGGCGGCGGCAGTGGGCTCCCTGAACTTTCTGTCTTCTTCGTAGGGACCACCCTGCCGTCATCAAGCGGCGCTTCACCAGTGTCCTGGTGGTGTCCAGCCTCTCGCCCCTCTGCGTACTACTCTGGAGGGAACTCACAGGCATCCAGGTGCGAAGGAGGCGGGGCAGAGGGCAACGGGAGAGATCTCAGCGGGTTTGGGGGAGGAAGCAAGACTGATGCCCCCTTTCCTGTGGCTCAGCCAGGCACATCCCTGCTCAGCCTGATGGGCTTCAGACTGGAGGGCATTTTCCCAGCAGCACTGCTGCCCCTGCTGCTGACCATGGTGAGCCCCTCTCTCCTTCCTTATCTCCTTTGTTGGCAGCATGATGCTCCTTTCTGTGACCCTTTTTCTTATCTTGATTGTGTCCAGTTTTTGAGTGATGGGAGATAGGAACTGTAAGATGGCTCGAGGCCCTTGGATCTGCATGGGGGGGCAATTCAGGATGAGCACTGGAAGCTTGAAGTCTCATGAAGCCTTGTCTGGGTAAGGGCAGTGGATTATGATTTAAGCCTTCCTTTTGATTGCTCTCGTTTTTCTGCCTCCAGATTCTTTTTCTGGGCCCACTTATGCAACTCTCTATGGATTGCCCCTGTGACCTGGCAGATGGGTTGAAGGTTGTCTTAGGTGAGTCCTCAAAGCTGAGGGGAAAAGTAGGCACAGGCAGTCCAGAACAAAGGCATTCCTCGGGCTCACGGTGGGACTTGAACATGTGAAGTGAGATGTTGTGTTTCCTCATCAGTAAAATGGGGACATGTAGCGGGAGGCCTCAAAGAGTTGGCCCCTGGTATCCAAGGAGCCTTCTAGGGACCTCCAGCAGTACTTGGTGTGGACTAGAGAGCATTGGCCGCTGCTTCCCCTAACTTTTGGCCACTCCAAACTAAAGCTGGTCTTGGACACATTTTGATATTTCCAGAGTTTACTACCAGGATATCCTGCTTCAGCTACTAATGCCTTTCTGTTCCGTTCTCTCGAGACATTGCCTTAAGGTGGACTTGATAAACAAAGCTCTACCCTTACCTGTTCTCAGGAGTATTGATGCCTAACCTGAGTTTGTCCAGGAACAGGGTGTGGGAGAGGGGCCCTTGTGGCCTCTAAGGACGGTCTTTCTGTTCAATAACTCGTCACTCACTGCTTATTCTGAATCTCCTCTCTAGCCCCTCGCTCCTGGGCCCGCTGCCTCACGGACATGCGTTGGCTGCGGAACCAGGTGATTGCACCCCTGACAGAGGAGCTGGTGTTCCGGGCCTGCATGCTGCCCATGTTAGCACCGTGTACAGGCCTGGGCCCTGCTGTGTTCACCTGCCCACTTTTCTTTGGAGTTGGTGAGTCTGTCCAGCCTGGTCCTGTTGAGATGTTCCCAGCATGAGAGCTGAGAATGGGGATTAGGGACACGGGTAGGGTCTGTAGGGCAGGCTGGGAGGAATGTGACATGGTTCTCGCTTTCCTTTCAGCCCATTTTCACCACATTTTTGAGCAGCTTCGTTTCCGCCAGAGCAGTGTGGGGAGCATCTTCTTGTCTGCCGGTGAGTCCTAGAGAGCGTGCCTGGGGCAGTCCTGGGTTAGGGTGTGTGAGGGTGTCCCTGATGGCCACTCTGGAGGGATAGTTGGGAACAGTACTATAGTATTTGGAGGGGCTTCTGACCATGGGAGTTGGGGTGTAGAGGACAGCCATAGGTGCTGGGGCAGGCAGCCACCGCCCCCAGGGGGAAGGGGATGTCCCTGGCGGATGGGTGTGCAGTGCTGGGACAGGAAGGGCATACAGGTGTGGTCACTCGCGGCCTCCCCGTCTCCAGCGTTCCAGTTCTCCTACACAGCTGTCTTCGGTGCCTACACTGCTTTCCTCTTCATCCGCACAGGTTGGTCCTCAGTCTCTCATGGGTCCCCGGGGGCTCAGGGGCCCACAAGAATGGGTGGGAGAATGGGAAGCCTGTGTTTATTCTAGGAGTGACGTTTGTTTTTTTTTTAACCACAGTCCTGGGGCCCTCAGCGTGGTGAGGTCTGAGAGGTAGAAGGAAGCAGAAGCCATGGTGTGTGGGTGGATGTGTGGGGCATCGGTCCCTTTTCAGGGGATGAGGATCATTAGCCCTGGAAGGGCCCGCAGAGGTGATGGGGCTGCTCCGTGAGCTGCTGTCTCCCCTCCCCAGGACACCTGATTGGGCCAGTTCTCTGCCACTCCTTCTGCAATTATATGGGCTTTCCTGCTGTGTGCGCAGCCCTGGAGCATCCACAGAGGCGGCCCCTGCTGGCTGGCTATGCCTTGGGTGTAGGACTCTTCCTGCTTCTGCTCCAGCCCCTCACGGACCCCAAGCTCTACGGCAGTCTTCCCCTTTGTGTGCTTTTGGAGCGGGCAGGGGACTCAGAGGCTCCCCTGTGCTCCTGACGCATGCTTCTTTACACACTTGTGTGAACTCTCATGGGGCTCCCCAGCCCCTCCCCGTCCAGGGGTACTGCAGGGGAGGAGTTGGCCAGGGTCCCCGAGATCTCAGGAATTTTTGTAGGGGATTGAAGCCAGAGCTAGTTGAATCCCAGGGACCAAGAGAAAGGAGCAGCTACCCAAGGGTGCGGCCCCTCTCTAGAGGGGGTTGAGGAGCAGCGGGGAGTGAGGGGACAAGGAGCAGGTCCCAGGAGCCATGCACTCCCTTCCTCATTTTGGACTACTGCTTCTCTGAGCTCCTCTGCCCCTGAAAAGCTGCTGGGGGTGGGATTTACAGAACCCCTGCCCTCAACTTCCCAGGGTTTTCTCATTGTCTTTTTGCATCAGGACTTTGTATTGGGATATTAAAGAGATTTAACTTGGGTAACATGGCCTTGGACCTTCGGGAATTTAGTCTATTTGGGATCTTGGGAGTATGCCCACTATCTCTGCCAGCTGCCTTGGATACTAACCTCTGGGCAGGTCAGCCTGGTAAGAACAGTTACCTGGTATGGGGCAGGATGAGGGGGCCTTTGGCTGCCTTGGGTCTTATAGCTTCCTCCTTCCTGAGCCAGGCCCCAGGTTCTAGCACAGGTGAGCCTAGAACTGCAGGTACCAGGTGTGAGCCCACCACATCATGGGGCCTGTAACTTGGCTTCCAGTGTCGGGAAGTGAGACCCAGGGCCCTGACTCCAGCAATGGAGCCTGCAGCCTGTGTCCTGAGAGGGTGGAAGGTCCACTATGGGGCCTTCACCAGGATCTCCCCATGCCTACCAGTGTACATTACACAAGAAATAGGTCCAAATGGAAGAGGAACCAGCTCAGAGTCACCTGAGAGTAGAGGCTTTCCTGGCTCTTTCTACATTGGACCTCTGCCACCGTGTTGTTTGTGTGGTCTCTGGAGGAACCTGGGACAAAGGCTGCAGCCCTGGGAGCAGCCGCAACCCTGCTGAGCAACACTGACTCAAGGTTCGTTCTTAGAATCCTGTCTTCTCTTCTCATGTGTTGCGAATGGCTTTCAGGTCCTATTCCAGACTCAAGGGAGGGTATTGAGTCCCCTTCCCTCGGGCTGGTGGTTGGAGGAGAGGAAACATGCGCAGTCACTCCCCTGGCACCCCCAGGTTGGCCATGACTAAAACTGTGTTCACTTGGATCTAAAAGGGCATCTTGACAGTCACACACGAACTTTGCTAGCAAGTTCTGTGCAGCAGCTATCAGAGAGGCAGAGCGGGTGAGCATGGGCCCATTCAGAGGGTACCTGTGGGATCTTGGAGTCCAAGGAGGAGGAAGCCCAGGCTCATCCCAGGAGCACTGGCTGACAGGGGGCTGGGATGGTTCCCTGGAGTGTTGGGGTATCTGGGTCCTACCGCTCCCCTTTCCCATGCTCCTGCTCCACCTTTCACCTCACTGGCCATCCTCACCTTTGCGGTGGGCAGCAGTACAGTGGTGCAAGCAGGGCAAGAGGACGGGGGCTCAGGATTAGGATGCTCCTGCGAGTGCTCGTGGGGCGTGGGCAGAATTAGATCCAGGGACTCTGAATCCAGTGCACTCACCTCTCCCCAGAATCCTCACACCCAAAAGTTCCCACATCCAGGGTCTCAGCCACCTCCCAGAAGGTGGTGCCTGTTTGCGTCCAGACCTGAACGAATGGGGTGGGAGGTAGGCCCTGGGTTTAGAAGGTCAAGCAGTGTGGCTGGAAAGCAAGTCCACCGACAGTCTGGGTTTGAACCCTCTCTTACTAGCTGTGGGGTCCTGGACAAGTCACTTAACCTTCCTGTGGCTCCATTTCTGTGTCCATGCAATGGGTGAAGTTTGATTCCCTGAATTAATTACGTGTCAGGTGCTTAGAACAGTCCCTCCACCCCACCTCGCCCTTAAGCTCTCAGTAACAACTAGCTAATCCTGTTTGGGGTGTGTATACAGGAGGCATTCTGGCAGCTTAAACCAAGGCCACTGTCATCCTCGCACTGTCATCTTCCTCCAAGGAGGAAGATCCAACTAGCCTGGGGAGTCAAGAGGCAGCCCTGCCCCTCTGCCAAATGGCACACAGGTGGGCTGCAAAGGACCCGGCATGGAAGGCAGGAAAAGCCAGTTTTATTGAGCAAAGTTCTCAGGATCTGGGACTTAGGTCTCCCCCAAGGAGGTCAGACCCCTGAACCTGCTCCCGCGGATCCTAGGCCCACCGTGGCCTATAGTCTCCAGCAAGGATAGGACCCTCACTTGGCAAGAGGTGAATATGTGAGTGTCCACCAGCAGGGAAAAGAGAGATGGCTGGAGAAAGGAAATGGGCCACCACGGGCAGTGTCTCTTGCCACAAGCAGCTGAGGACAGGAACTCCAGGGTCAGGCACTGGCTAGCCCGGGCCTGCCCTGGCAGCACAGCATCTCTAGAAGGCTTGGGGTGGGGATGGCCAGCCTGCGAGTCTGGGGCAAGGTCACTCAATTTCCAGGATGAGGTCGTCACCCTCCAGTATCATGTCCTTGGTTACGTGGATCTTGCGGACAGTGCCCTCCATGGGTGAAGTCACCACAGTCTCCATCTTCATGGCACTGAGCACACACAGGGGCTGACCTTTGGCCACCTTGGCCCCTGCCGCCACCTTGATGTCTATCACCTTTCCAGGCATGGGTGCCCCGATCTGGCCCTTCACATCCTTTAGGGCCTTGGGGTGGAAGTGCATCTCCTGAACAGGGCAGAGGGGACATGAGACACCAGGCCCCTCCTGTCCCACCACCTAGCCAGTGTAGGGGGAACTGTACCTTCATGGCCTGAGTGTCCTTGACCAGAATGGACCGCAGCTGTCCATTGAGCTCGAAGAAGACCTGCCTCTGTCCAGTCCGGTTCAGGTCAGTTATGGCCAGGGCTTTGATGTGCAGCGTCTTGCCCCTCTCCAGCTCCACCTGCAGGAGAAAGTGGAAGCGCAGAGCTGGGGGGCAGGTGGGAGGGGAGTAGCTCCTGACCAAGTCCCAGGCAAGTCCCTCCACCTTGAGTCTCAGCTCCTCAACTTATAAAGGCCTAGCTCCCCAGTTTCCCAAGTGTACTTTGTGCACTCATAGCTCTCGGGGCTGGTGACGGCCAAGCCAAAGTCTGGAGCGCTAGATGTACTGGGGTCCTTAGGGAAGTGGGGGCGGGGGGTCTTGGAGTGGAGTGTATGTAGGTGCCAGAGCCACTGACCTCAAACTCCTCTGCGATTTTGGGTCCCTGAAGGAAGAGGCGGGTATTGAGGCTATCCAGGGGACCAAAGGTAGCAGTGAAGTCCTTGAAGTTGGAAAAGACTTCGGGGTAGATGGCTGCGGAGAGCACGTCCTCTGGGGTCATCTCCTCTCCGTGCCGCTCTGTCAGCTCCTTCTCTAGCGCCTGCAGATCCAGGGGAGGGATGGAGGCTCCGGGCCGCCCCTCCACCCTTGGCAGGTCCTTTAGCACCTGGGGACAGAGCAGAGGGTCAGGCACGATTCCCGCCCCCACCCCCGCCTCACACTGGGCCAGGCTGTCCCCACCTTGGTCCCTACCTTGGAGCGAAGGGGCTCAGGGAATCCCCCGTGGGGGATGCCGATGTAGCCCTGCAGAAACTCCACCACGGAGCGGGGGAAGGACAGCTCTTCTGCCTGGGCCTCAGCCACTGCTCTGGTCAACCCATTCTGCACCATGAACTGGGCTAGGTCCCCCACGATCTTGGAGGAGGGTGTCACCTAAGGAGAAGAGCCCCTGGGTTAGGGTGCCAGGTACCTTATGGAGGTACCGAAGCCGGGGTAAGGGCACTTGGCCTGGCTCACCTTGATGAGATCACCAAGCATCTGGTTGGCTTCCACGTAGGCCTTCTTGACCTCCTTGAACCTGGAGCCAAGCCCCATGCTGTGTGCCTGGAAGTGCAGGTTGGTGTACTGGCCCCCTGGGATCTCATTCTCATACACGTCCGAATTGCCAGACTTCATGGTGGCCGTGCAGTCAAAGGCCGCATACAGTCCCCGGGTCCCCTCCCAGTACTCACTATAGTCAAACACGCGCTCCAGGGGCACCCCTGCAGGGAGACCAGAGGCAGGGGAGAGCTTGGGAATGTGCCAAACTCTCAGCTGCTCTTCCCAGGACCCTGGGGCCAGCTCAGGTCCCATCTCAGCTTGAGTGATAGGAAGCAGGACCAGGCAAGAGCATCTGGATTCTAGGATATGCCAGACTGCTGGGACTGATGGGGGCTGTGGCTTTGAAAGGGAGGAGGCCACGGGCTGCTGCTCTTCCTACCTGTTTCTAGGGGAGTGCCTTGGGTGCAGGCCACCAAGGCCCCCATACTGGGCTGTGAAGTCATCCCAGACATGGCATCAGCTGCCACATCCACCACATCGGCCCCGGCCTGGGCACAGGCCAGCATGGTTGCCACACCTGCCCCTGACGTGTCGTGGGTGTGGATGTGCAGTGGGAGGTCGGGGAAGCGGTCCCGGAGAGAGCTGACCAGCATGGTGCAGGCTGCTGGCTTCAGCAGCCCTGCCATATCCTGGGGGAAGAGGAGAGACAAAGGTGGTAAGAGGAGGACCCGATGTGTGCATGGTGGGGAGATGAGGGGCAAAGCATGGTTGCCACACCTGCCCCTGACGTGTCGTGGGTGTGGATGTGCAGTGGGAGGTCGGGGAAGCGGTCCCGGAGAGAGCTGACCAGCATGGTGCAGGCTGCTGGCTTCAGCAGCCCTGCCATATCCTGGGGGAAGAGGAGAGACAAAGGTGGTAAGAGGAGGACCCGATGTGTGCATGGTGGGGAGATGAGGGGCAAAGGTGTTAGGGAGGCGGGGGGGGGGATGGGAAAGTGGGACTGCTGGAGGTGGGCTGGGCCCAGGCACCTTGATGCACAGGATGTGGGTGCCGGCTCGCACCAGCTCTTCTGCCAAGTCCATGTAGTACTGCAGCGAGTATTTGGTGCGGCTGGGGTTGGCCACGTCACCCGTGTAGGAGATGGCAGCCTCCACCACGCCTCCAGCACTGCCTACTGCCTCCATGCCCAGCAGTAAATTGGGCAGGTAGTTGAGGGAGTCAAAGACCCGGAAGACATCCATGCCATTCTCCTTGGCCACCTCACAGAACCTGAGTGGGTAGGAGAGCCCGGGGTTAGCCCCATCCTCACTCCCTGCTGCACCTCCTTCTCAAGCTCCTGGCCCCCCTGTGGTCCCTGGGGGATGAGTTCTGAGGGTCTGGCCTGGCAGGAATCGTGGTACCCACAGGATCAGTGGGAGCGGGGCACCACAGTGTGGACAAGACCTTTCCTACAAGCAGCTGGGCTGGGCAGGGTCTCCCCAGAGGCATCTGGCACAGAGCTGTCCTATGCTGGTTGTGCCCAGGTCAGAAGGATTAGATTAGCTGGGGATTCTTTGCAAAGGACTGGCAGGCTGAGGGAGAAAGAGCACTGAACGG